CCCAAATGTCCATCAGTGACAGACTGGATTAAGAAAATGTGGCACATATACACCATGGAATACTATGCAGCCATAAAAAAGGATGAGCTCATGTCCTTTGTAGGGACATGGGTACAGCTGGAGACCATCATTCTCAGCAAACTTTCTCAAGAACAGAAAACCAAATACCGCATGTTCTCACTCATAGGTGGGAATTGAACAATGAGAACACTTGGACATGGGAAGGGGAACATCACACACTGGGGCCTATTATGGGGAGGGGGGAGGGGGGAGGGATGGCACTGGGAGTTATGACTGATGTAAATGACGAGTTGATGGGTGCTGACAAGTTGATGGGTGCAGCACACCAACATGGCACATGTATACATATGTAACAAATCTGCACGTTGTGCACATGTGCCCTAGAATTTAAAGTGTAATTAAAAAAAAAAAAAGTTCTTCTACAGTCATGGTGAAGTTCTAGGGGGAACTAGAGTAGTTGCTTTGAGAATGACAAATGATGAATGGCTTCAAGAGAGATAATAGATATATAATTAACTGATGGATATAGATTTTAGGATGAGGGTTTTGATAAATTCAGGTTTTGAGTCAAATGAACTGGAAAGAAAGTGACCCCATTTGCCAAATGGGCAAAAGAGCAGGAGGAGTTTGAGAAAGGAGAAGGGTCAGGAAGGTAGGAATCAGGAAGAGCTTCATATTTGATGGTAGATAAATACATCATCTTTGGAATCTAAAAGACTTGGATTTGAATCCTGGATGAACTATTAGCCAACCTGTGTGACAAGTTACTTAATTGTTTCAGTGTCAGTTTTGTTATCTATCAAATAAGGAAATGATATTATATGTAAAGTAGTATATATAAACACAAAAGAATCATGTAATGAATATTATCACTATATATTATCATTATCATAAAAATAATATAATAATGCTTCTTGGGATGTGTTTTATTTATATTATTACTAAGATAATAATGTTCTTGTTTTAGTTCTTTTTAGTAAGGATTACAAGCACAAACTGGAAATTATTTATGTTCTTTTCCTATTTTACAGATAAATAAACTGAGGCTCAGAAAGGGTGGCATACCTGAGGTTATACTGCTAGAAATGTAACCTATGCATAAGAGCCAGGATTCACACTTAGATATGACTTAAACCAAATAATTCTGAACTCTTTCCCAACTAATCACTTTTAAGATAAAAGCTTCTTTGTATCACTTTGCCATTTCTCTCGGATCTATATTGAGTGGAAAAATTCTGTGTTTATAAAAGTGTTATTATCAGATCACCACACTGTGAAACTATGTGTTTTATTAATTTTCCAGTGCTGGACAATATTCCTCTCAAGGTCTGTCTTTGGAGGAGATGAAAAGAAGTCTTCAATACTCACCCATTGACAAATATGGTAAGTAGACAGATTCGTTAGGTTTGTTAAGAAAACTACCCTTAGGAAGGTGATATCTATTTAACGAAAAGGGAGAAAACATTGTATATTGTAATATCCAAAATGGCAGATGCTTTAAAAATGTAAAAGTATAAAGTTTGATTTTATATGTCTTTTATAACTCATTTACCTTTAAGGTTAATAACGTGTGTGTGAGCATGTGTGGAGTGTGCATGAGTGTGTCGTATATGTGTCATTATTTGTGAATGCCTGTTTGTGTTTGTGTACATAGAAAAAAGTACAACTCTTTAAAAAAAAAAAAAAAAAAAAAACTCCTTCTTCTCATGATATTCCAAATACTTTGTCAACATTTTATTAAGTCCATTGCTTCTAAGCCCCACAGTAAGTGTGTGTAGGCAGGGAGAGGAAAAACAAGAGATGAATTTTCACAATGACTTAATATGTTGGGAGAGCTCTTCCCCTTTAGCCAAGCACCCAAGGGTAAAGTGCAAATCCAGCCATTCCTGCAAACAGCTGGAGAGGCGGTGAGGACAGTTGATGGGATCCATTTTACACAGGGCTTCTTCAGAAAGAATTAATAAAGCTCTTGGAAATAATTAGCAAAGTTTTTTCAGGCCTCTGGAAGCCAGAGGGTGGACAATTGCCTTTATCATCAGCTGCCATATCAATGTGTTAGGGCTGGGATGTCCTTTTACCAACCTTTAAGCCTGAGAGGCACTATGTCTAATTGGAATTTTAGCACAATGGGCCCATTTATCCACTGCTACTTCCTTTGACTATATGAAGAACTGAAAAAGTGTCTGTCAGTTAAAGAGATCAGATTTATTATAAGAGCTGGGTTTGAGAAAGAATAAATTGGATGATGTGATCCTGGATAGGGGGCAAGAGACCCAGGAGACCTTCAGCTTTGGGATCCTCACCAATTCACCTCATCTGCAAAGACTCATTACCTAAGGCATTAGAAACCTTTTAAGAAACAAAGAAAAATATATGTTCTGAATGGATGCAGACAAACTACTTGGGCACATTAAAAAAAGGGAAACTTTGTGCTTCTGACTCCCAATACGTGTCTAGAATGCAGATGAGTGCTTTTTATCATCAGCTTTACAACATAATTGGCCAGTCCAGTAACAGATCCTTTTGAGGGGAAAATGCACTCCAAGTGTCACATCCTCACATTTTCTAATAGATATAATATTGTTTCTTCAAACCTTTACAGATGTAACTTCACAACCACAAAATATAGGGCATCCTTTGAAACATGTGCTTTGACCAGAAGTCTTTCCTTTAGTGGTGAGGTTTCAAGATGAAGCATTTCTTTAACTTAATTTGTTTCTTAAAGAAGACTCCCCCCAAGATGGAGAAGTAAGACAAATGTGGTGTAATAATGCAAAATTTGGGTTTTCCTATGCATATCTGTCTCAGGGATGGAAGAAAACATGAGGGTGTTTGGATGCAGTGAGAGTACCTATAAACAAAGAAGATACATTTGATATCTCCCATTAGGAGCATCACATCACACAGGAAAGAACCCTTTAATTGCCCTTTATTCTATTTCCAAACTGATTGCAATATAACAGCAATTTTATAGGCTGCTTCTCCCTCTGCTTTGCTGCCAAAGAGCAGAGCTCAAAAATGGAGATAAAATGAAACACATAGCTGTTTTCTCTATACCTGAGATCTTTTACCTTAAAGTAACAAAACATGCAGACTTGGTTCAGTCCTTTCCTAAAGCCTATGGTCAAATTTCAGTTGAGTTCCTCTTAAACCGACTGGGTCCACAATCCAACACATCTATTCTTACATTCTGGCAATAATGGCATCAACAATAAATGCTAGCCTCAATGCTTTACTGATTTTGCTGCTCATTCCTGAGGGGAGAGCCCACCCACCCTTGTGGGACATATGTCCACAATCAAATTTCCACTGGAGTCCTATGGGGCAAGAGGCACTGGAATATCACAGGCCAGTAAAATTGCATGTGGTATGTTAGAAGGCTGATTATGGTCATAAAAGTCTTACAGGTTTATGAAAGCATCTATCTGTGCCTGAAATGAAGTCTCATTTTTAGCCTGGATATAGAAAATATTTTGCTGTAGGAGGTAGATTTTGTTTTAGTCTACACAGAATTTAGATTCGCTGATACATATCCCACTGCCCATCATCTCATCCTGCCCCATCATAACCTTCCTCACATCTGACCAGAGCCAGTTCCAAAAGAAGTGAGTGGGAGATACCAGTTGACAGGAGTATCACTATCAGTGGCATTTTCTCTCAAGAGAGTTTATGTGCTACCTAAGATATTTTGACAGAGACCTTTCTTATGAAAATAAATATGTCTATCCAACTGCATATTGCTAGGTGTCTTAATGAAAATGTAGATGACTGGGTTGGTTATGAAAGCTCAGCTATCAAAGGGAAGCAAAAGCAGCAATAGCTATTGACAAATTACTCACTTTCACAGAAGCAATGAATGGCTTTCTTGCTTCAGAGTGGAAAGAAAACTGCTTCCCTATACATAGCCCTGTGGTTCTCTTGGACAGTGGCCTGATCCTGAGCCACTAGGTTCATTCTCTGGACACATCCAAGGCTATTGCTTCAAAGGGCATCAAATGCCACTGGTATTTAGACCTGAGAATTTTATGTACCTTTAAAATTTGGGCTACCAGGGAGAAGAAAACAAACAGAGCCATCTGGTTTGAGAAACAAAGGCTCTTTCCTTTCCCTTTCTTTTTTTTTTTTTTTTTTTTTTTTGAGACAGTCTTGCTCTGTCACCAGGCTGGAATGCAGTGGCGCAATCTCGGCTCACTGCAACCTCTGCTTCCTGGGATCAAGTGACTCTCCTGCCTCAGTCTCCCGAGTAGCTGAGACTACTGGCATGTGCCACCACAGCCGGCTATTTTTGGTATTTTAATAGAGATGGGGTTTCACCATATTGACCAGGATGGCTTCGATCTCCTGACCTCGTGATTCGCTTGCCTGGGCCTCCCAAAGTGCTTGATTTCAGGCATGAGCCACTGCGCCTGGCCTCTTTCCTTTTTCTTTACTGCTCTCTCTCCATTTTCCTTTCTATAGCCATTGTTTGTTTAGCATTCACTGGGTATCAGACAGTGCTAATTGTCTTAGGTGCATTGCCGACCTTATGAATAAGTGCTATTATTTCTCCCATTTACAGATGAAGACACTGAGGCATAGAAAGTTTAAGTTGACAAAAGTCACAGAGCCAGCAAATAGTGGAATCCGTGCTTAAACCCAGATTTGCCTGATGTGAAGGCCTGTGCTTTTAGCCAGCCTGGCATGCCATCTGCCTGAGCTGTACCCTTCTTTACTCCAAACCCAAAATGCCACCTAGCCAGCTTGGGTCCGAATTAGACATCCATCATTCATATTTGCCTGGTCTCAGCTCTCTGTTTTCATTGTAAATGTTGCTTCTGCTTTGCAACCACTCATCCACAACCATTGTCCAGATTCTCTGTTCACATGATCTGGAAGACCTGCCTGGTTCAGGCTGGTAATAAAAAATTGGGGAATGTACTGAAAGACTAGTAAGTAACAACTGAACTTCTTTTCTCATGCAGGCTATGTATCCGATCCCATGAGCCCTATGCATTTTCATTTTTGCCGAAATAGTAGCAGCTTTGAGGACAGCAGCTGACAGCATTCGGCATATACCTAAGGAGAGTTTTTTCCCCGAACTGACAGCAACGATTCCAACCACGGCAAGCTGGCTTCCAACTATAACATTTTATTCTCAAAGGTCTCCTTATATTGGAATGGTATTTACTGGTCCTATTTAATTCCCCACTATTAGCAGGCTTTGGATTTGTGCCTAAGGAATAATACGCAAAAGAACCAAGACAGAATGTATATGAAGAATTGTTTTTAATTTTGTAAATTAAAAAAAAAATTAGATCATTACTTGGAGATGGAGCCTAAGTCTGTGGTGGACAGATAATAATTATGTTTTCCAGGACTGAATTATGTAGACTTGTGTTTGACAGCTATGGGTTTGATTTCTTAGAACATTGTTCATTTTCTTTACTCATTATGTTACTTCTAGTGTTCACCTCTGTGATTAAAGATTCTTTGGTGAAATAGAAAATTGATTTAGGAGTGTATTTTATTTCAACAAGACATCCACTGAGTATATTTTTTTCCAGCCATATTGGTAAAAACAGTAACAAGTTTTAGGTCAAGAAGGCTGCAAATTGAAGGATAATCATGTATTTTGGTTTTGGCAAGAGAAATAAGGTTAGCAAAGGAATCTTGGACATCCTCTAAATCAAGGTTTCTCAACCTTGGCACTGTTGATATTTGTTGAGAGGGTGGGGAGTTGTGTCATGCATTGAAGGATGTTTAGCAGCTTTCTGGTCTCTACCCCAGGTGCCAGTAACACCCCCTATGATAGTTAATTTTATGTGTCAACTTGACTGGACCATGGGATACCCAGATATGTGGTTAAACATTCTTTCTAGGTGTGTCTGTGAAGGTGTTTCCTTAAGAGATTACCATCTGAACCAGTAGACTGAGAAAGGCAGATAGCCCTTCCCAGTGTGAGTAGCATCATCTTATCCATTGAAGGCCTGAATAGAGCAAAAAGGTGGAGGAAGGGAAGATTTGCTCTCTGCCTGACTGCTTGAGCTGGAGCATCCATCTTCTCCTGCCCTTGGTGCTCCTGGTTCTCAGGATTTCAGACTCAGGTTGGAATGTACACTATCGGCTCTCCAGCTCTCAGGCCTTTGAACTCTACCACTGGCTATTCTGGGTCTCCCGTTTATAGACAGCAGATCATGGGACTTCCCAGCCTCCAGAATTTCATATATATATATATATATATATACACACACACACACACATACATACATATACACACACACATACACACACACACAAACACACACATATATATCTGATTGGTTCTCTTTCTAACAGGGAGCCCTAATACACACACTCCCAAGTTATGACAATCAAAAGTGTCTTCAGACATTTCTACATATGCCATGGGGGACAAAATTGCCCCAGGTTGAGACCCATTTCTCTAAATTCAAAGAGGATAACCACAGGCCTAAAGAGCAAACAAGAAATTTAGAGCCTGACTCTAGCTGGCTGAATTTAGGCATACCTGCTTTCTCCTCCTCCTGAAGTAATGTGGGTTCATATATAAATGGAATTGGATAGTAGAAGTGCTGATTGCTCCTTAGATATCTGTGGCAAGCTCCGCTCTCCTCCACTTCTCTCTTGCCAGTTAGAAATTATGTTTCTAGAGGGCATTTTCTATCAGAAGAACAGCAAACCCACCTTTCAAATCCCTTTGAGCCTCTTGTTATGACTTATGGTTGCAAAGTCACAAATCCTGGCATGCTCTGATTAGCTTGTGGAGAGCCCAGTGTAGGTTCAGAGACAGAAATTAAAAGCAACTTGGTACTTCCAACTAGATTTATCTTCTTTTAGCCTCCAGCCTTTTAATTTCCTTACGCAATTATTCTGGAGTCACAGGTACTCTATCCCACCAATCAGGTTCCCAAAGGACTGTGTAATAAGCAGGACGGAGGAACCTGAAGTGACCGCTCAGGCATAAACCCTCTGGCAAAGACAGAGAAGGAGAAAAAGGAGCTGATTAAAGAACACCTGTCTCCATAGCTTTCCCTGTATTCCTTTGCTCTAGCTACTCTGGGAAACGAACCAGCACTTAGTCTGGGATACTTTGGGGGCTTAATCCTTTTATGAGTCGAGTTGAAAGAAATACCTTAGAGAGTTTTTTTCAAAAGATAGTTTTAACCAAAAGAGTCACAGTATACATAGTGCCAAATGTGTGTATAGTCAGGGCAGTGGACAGTGCTGGGGTAACTCTCGCTGGCTGTATTTAGGCATATCTGTTTAGGTAACCCCAGCCAGGTGTCCTCCCAGGTCATATTCAGAGAGAGGATTGTTTGCTTCTGAAATGCCCCTCTTTTAGAAAGAGATTTTCTAGAACAGATTCATCAAGATCTCTTTCTTTGTTTCCTCTAATTAGCCACCTCCTCTCTTCACACTGCATTTCCTGATGTTGCTGCTTCCCTCTGGCTCTTGTCTTGTCAAGTGTCTGCAAATAATGAGACTAATGTGTCTTGATTCCTGAGAAGGAGAACCTTTTCGCAGATTACAACCTGTAGCTCACAAACCCTTTTCATTACTGCACCCTTAATGGGGCCCAGGGATCATCTTAGAGCTTGTCTCAAGACCATGGGTTTTATAAGGTTTTTTTCTTCCTTGCTGAAAAATGTCTCACTAATTGCTTTCTTTTTCTCTCAGAAAAAATGAACTTCTAAGATCATGTTTTTGCATGCTTAGCACATTAAATTTCTTTCTACGTGCATGCAGCATTGCGCTCACTCTGAAGATGTTCAATTAACTGTAATTGTAAGCCAAATTATAGCAGCACCAGGAGAGAGTTATTCCAACAGAGTGATTATTTGGGTTAAATTATTTCCAAAGCTGACATTTCCCTAGGAAAGAGAAAAAAAATGGGTGCTTGTGGTAGGAGAAAAGGCTAATGCTAGACAATCCATCTAAAATGAAGTGTTTGATTTCTCTCTTTTTCTTTCTCTTTGTCTCTCTCTTTTTTATTTTTCCTTTCCCTTTGTCCTTCCTTTCCTATTTCATTTATTTGTTTTCTCTTTCTTAAACAATAAGCAGAGGCTTTGAAGTCACTCAGACCTGTCATAGTAGTTGTGTGACCTTGGGCAAGTCACTCAACCAGTCTGAGCTCCAGTTTATTATCTGTAAGGTGATAATAATAAAATTTATCTTTTTGACTGGGTGTGGTGGCAATCTCGGCACTTTGGGAGGCCAAGGCAGGCAGATTACCAGAGCTCAGGAGTTCAAGATCAGCCAGAGCAACATGGTAAAACCCTGTCTCTACTAAAATTACAAAAAAAAAATTAGCTGGATGTGGTGGTGCACACCTGTGGTACCAGCTACTCAGGAGGCTGAGGTGGGAGAATCACCTGAGCCTGGGAGATCAAGACTGTGATTGTACAACTGCTGTACAACCTGGATGACAGAGTGAGACCCTGTCTCAAAAACAAACAAAGAAACAAAAATTTATCCTGTAGATTTGCTATAAGGGTTTCAAATGATGTAAAGTATGTACTATAGTTCACGAACCACCATAACAATTTTCCCTCTTTTTTTTTTTTTCTTTAGATGGAGTCTTGCTCTGTCACCTGGGCGGGAGTGCAGTGGCGTGATCTCAGCTCACCGCAACCTCCGCCTCCCAGACTCAATCAATCCTCTAGCCTCAGCCTCCCAAGTAGCTGGGACTAGAGGCATACACCACCATACCCAGCAAATTTTTATGTTTTTTATAGAGACAGGATTTTGCCATGTTGCCCAGACTGGTCTTGAATTCCTGGGCTCAAGAAATCTGCCTGCCTTAGTCTCCCAAAGTGCTGGGACTACAGGCCTGAGCCACCAGACCTGGCCAGCATATGTTGTTGTTTGTGTTATTGTTACATGACTATGCATCCAAAGAACTATATTATAAAAGAAGAGCATGAAAACAGTGAAGACTTTTTTCTCCATTGTAAAAATAACTATCAATGTCCCTAAAAACTTCATCTTTGCAAACAGCAAGCTGGGGAGCCTACACTTCTGAGGCAGTTTGAGCCAAGATCCAGCAGACCTTAGATAGCAATGCCTTGTTTATCCTAAAATTAAATTAGAAGACAAATCAAATCTTTTCAGCCAAATACAAGAACCAGAAAGGATTCCCCAAGCAAGGGGGATGCTAAGTGAAAATAGAAAGAGTATACACTTACTGAGCACTATTATGTGGGAAAATGGCTTAAAACTACTTAAAATACAGTATTTGGCCTAATTTTCTGCATAGCCCTAGGAAGAGGGGATTATTGTTATTATTATTATTAAAGTGGGGAATCAGAGAAGCAAAGTAATGAATCCAAACTCGTATAGAATAGAGGCAGGTTTCAAACAACTTTTGTCTTGCACTCATGTCCATGATTCGTTCACTACACAATACAGTCTCCACTGTGAGAGAGGAAAAGATAGAAAAACAGCACATACTCACAATCCAGAATTGTGGTAAAAGTGAACAACTCTGCAGTTCTACAGTCCTGAGGAAAATTTGGAAACTATCACAGGAGAAGTTTCAGCGGCCAGAAAAATAAACCCTTTCCTGATTGCTACAGCTTATTATTGCAAAGTAAAATCAAAAAAAAAAAAAATCATTATTTTCCCTGTTGTAATTATGGAAGAAAAGGGGCTGGAATAATCTCAAGGCTCAAAAAAAAAAAAAATGCATTGTTATTTTCTAGGCAGAAAGAACCAAAAATGATTGACAGAAACAGGACTCTCACCATGATAAGCAAGAACAAAAAAGTTATAAGGGCAAAGCACAGCAATTAGGGAAGCCAAGGAGTTTCACATTTTCCTTTCCTCATTAGCACACTGGGTAGGGAAAGTGAGGAGAGAGGGTGTAGCCATCACCAGTAGGATTTGAATACCTTATTTTTTCCTAGTTTTGTTTTGCTTGCAGTTACTCAAGCATGCAGACTGAAGAGCTCCCCCTGATCAATTTGCTTCCATATTTCAAGAGCCACAAGGGCAAAGATGAGCCATTTGACATGTGCAATCCCTTCACTGGGTATCAGCTCAAGATTCAGCTGCAGCAATAACAGACTGTGGTCCAAGACTGTCAGCTCAATTAGCACCATATGCAAAACATGATGGAGAAGCAAAGTTCCTCTCTCTCCTTGGACATCCTACCTTTTATGAGGCTAACTAGAAATAAAAAGAGCAGGGGTTGCACATATCTCCTTGGGCCAGAGATCCAAGGCGGCAGAGCAGCCGACCCAGTGGCAGGGTGCTAATTAAATTAGGCTTCTTGAATTAAAACACTGCCATGGGGGCCAGGCCCTGCTGATGAGGATATGTCTCCAAAGCACTCCCCACCTAGCTTTATGTTTAATTAGTGAGATAAAAAGAATATTATCTCAAGTATCTGTCTTTTAACCAATGGGCTCATATGCAGAAGAAAGGTATCTTTACTATCTTTAAAGAAGGTTTTGAAGCGCACTAATTTCACTGACCTCCATCTCTT